GTGAAACAGGTTATATTGAGATTACATGTTACAAATCAACATCTCATAAACTTGACACAACAATTTTTCCATTGAAAGCTATTTACCCAAATAAGAGAAAACCACATAAATTGAGGATATTCAAGTTGCCTTCTTAACACTATCTGGGACTGGAAAGCAGGTTCACTCTATAATTGATATAAATGAACTGCAGAAGCCTTGATAATTACTTAGAAAAAGTACAAGGGTGGTTTTGCCACTAGCAAACCCAACATTAGAAGCTCCATCTGTCTAATCCATCTAGAGTAGAATGGCATCCATCAGTGAAAAGAAGAGTTGAAAAAATCTTTATTGATGTTTACATGGAAAGAAAAGTTCATTTTAATTTTTTTCTTTGTGTTTCTTTTAAAGCAATCAGTTTTAAACTTTAAATTTGAAACCCAATGTTTTATGTGTAAATGTCATTTTATCCTCTAAGACAAAAGTTATCTCTAACAATGAATTTATTACATTTTGAATGATGACTCAAACAAATCAACTTTTAGATAATCTTAAATGGATGGATATTACATTTAATTATAACATACTAAACTCATTGAACAATTTTCCAAACTAATACAAGTGTTATTTTGCCCAATCAATTGTCAGAAACGATTGGATTATTTTCATGTGGATCAGCACTTCTGACTTGATCAGATTGTAGCATCTGTGCTCAAAATGGCAACAGGTTTAGGATGTCTGTTTTCTTTTATCTATATCATCCATTTCTCAGTCTGGGCTCAAACCATAACATTGGTGCACACTATCTTTCTTTGAATGTTTCATGTGATCTGTCTAAGCTTCATAGTTTATTCTTTAAAGACCCTATAAAAGATTGAGTTGACCATTTTGACATAGATCAAAGTTTTAGTTTCTTGGCCAATTTGCAAAGGTGCATGAAGGACTGGATTCATTGTTTCCTAAGAATTAGTGAGAGGAAATCAAATCCTTGACTTTGAATTTGAACTTGGTTTCCCCTATTTGCTAAAGAGATTATTGATTTTATAATACTAAGAACAAGTGACCATGTTTCCATCTGAAAAGTTGGACCTGTACCAAAAAAGAAAACAAATGATGAGAAAGATGCAAACATTAAATTTTTGACAAAGCATGTCACAAAGAACTGTTGTGCACTATAAAGGTAAAGCTTTTATTTTGATGCCAATATTAGAATGTTCCAGAAGGAATGGAAATTTTCTGTTTGTATACAAAACTGATCATGTGTCAAGTTCTTGATGTATTATAGTATAAAACTCTAATCAGAGTATGATTCTGAGAAACCTATTAGGATTCATTATTGGATATATGCAACAGTAAACTATAAGATATGCAGATGACAGTGTTGATAGCAGATACAGAAAGGAAACTACAAAAGTTCCTACAGAAGGTAGTGAAAGAAAGCAAGAAGAAAGGACTAAATATAAACTACAAGAAGACAGAATACATGGTTGTCAGCAAAAAGATGATCGCAAATTACAAATTGGGGATACTAAAATCAAACAAGTACAAAAATTTTAATATCTGGGAAGTGTTCTAACAAAGGACAGAAAGACGTATTGGATGGCCTAAATGCTATCATCTCATAAGTGAATTGACACAACAATTGGATTTCTCACCTTTGACCCAAAAGACACTTTCTCAGGGAAAATTTTGCAACTCACATTATGGTGACAATTCATTCAGCTGAAGGTCAACATTCTGCAGGCTTTCGATTTATTGTTTCCCATCCTGACATCTCTGTAAAATGACTTCATTTGGTTTACCCTAATTCTCCTCATGTCAATCTCTCAGGCATTGTTTGCTGATGATTGTCAACACTTGGCCTGTTCGCACAAACCAAGCATTGCTTTCAGCCAGTTATCTGGTCTATTGTATAAATCTCGATTCTCTGGGAACCAGTCTATTGTTCTTGATATTTTTTAACCCTTTTCATGATGGTTTATTCATCAATATCTCATTTTTGTTGATATCCCAAGTCATTATTATTATTATTATTAATAATTACCAGCAACCCAAATAGTGTTACACTCACAGGACAAATTGAAGGCAAGAGGGACAGGAAAACAACACATAACACACTGAATGAAGTAAATGGATGGCAGAACAAGGTTTAGATGAGATAATAGACAAAACTTATTAAGAGCTACAAAGAACAGGAAATTGTGGCGAGCCATGATTGCCTACATCCTGAAGAGACACAGCATATAGAAGAGAAGATAGATCCATGGAATATTTGCCCATCCTGTTTTGTTTGTTAAGTGTCCTCTTGTATTCACAAGGTCTCATCTCGATGTAGTAAAACCTGTTTTTGCTTTAGCACTGATATTTATTCAAATGCAGAAATTTTACTCTTTTAATGTTTCCCAAGGACATCATAGAATAGATTATTACATCAAAAATACCAATTTTTACCCCAAAACAATATTTTTGAACTTCAATGTAGAATTTATCACTTTTAGAATGGCCACTCTAATATAAATCAAGTGAACCCTCAATTTCCTCCCAAACATTATTTTTACTGTTTTGGGGCCGAATTATGAAAATTCAACCCGAGATTTGGGCTAAAATTTAAAGTTTTGGCCTTTTTCTAAATGGTCTTACAAATACAATTCTAACAAGCCCTCAACCACCTCGAAAGCATAATTTTATGCCAAGTTATGATCAAATGTCTGTAAAATCCATGTAATAGCCAACTGTTAAGTTTTTTTTTTTTTTTTCCAACCTAAATATCAAATTCTTATTTTAAAATAGCATCTTGGTCAGGCTGAGAATTTTTTTAACACCCTGTCATATTTATGACTACAAATAGCATTTTATATTGAATCAGAACAAATATTTATAGTAGCATTTTTAAGTGAATTTCAAAAACAATATTCAACTATAGGAGTATTTAATATTTTTGTCTTTGAAATTTGCTTAAAAATGCTACATTTGTTCTGATTCATTTTACCTATATTCTGATTAACACACCTCCTTGGCTTTTGGAACAGGACTAGAGGTTTATCCCTTGTTTCTGGTTCCTTCTGAAGCCTACTTCAACTCTATATTTCTAATGTCTCCGCCTAAACACTGAAACTTTATTTACTATTTATTTTTTTTTCCTTAATTCAAGTAGATCGGTTTGCTTATCTGGTTCATACCCCTCTGTTTTTTTTTTACAGGAATAGAGGTTTATCCCTTGTTTCTTGTTTAAGATTGAATTTCCAGATTCCTTCTAAAGCTTTCACATTCTCTTTCACACCTCGTAACTCCTTGCATCTTAGTGACATTATTAGTGTTGGTTCCATTTTCACAACCTCAAAAAATCAAAATTATAACATTACCTTTATGCAATATTTTCACTAACCATGAAGAAGCACTTACAGTATTAGCACAAATTATATGACTGATAAAGAAGAATTTTAGTACAATTCATTATGCATTTATTGAAAATTGTTTTAGTTCTTTTTCAGGGAGCAATATCTGCACATTATAGTAAATTCATAATAGCTACAAAGAAATCTACTGGTATCAGTGAACACTGGTACATATGGTAATAGGCAAAAAAACAGAAATATGGTACTTGTTGGTAAATTAAATCCCATACCATACATGCAAAAAAGCAAATTCCAATACCTGTATATCAAGAAAAACACACACAAAGCAGGCAGCAATACATGTTGAAGCAAATATTTCTGGAAAATTTGCTATTTCTACAAAACAAGCAGCAAAATATTGTGCAATTCCATAAATTTCTTAATTTCTGGGTGAATTTTTCAGGGATATTTTCAGATAGTCCTAATTTCAAAGCTAAGCTCTATACATGCACTGATTCCTGGTGAACCCCACTTTTTTGTAGTCTTCAGACATAATTTTGCTGCATTAGACGCAGGGTAATTTTTTTTGGGGGGGGGATCTGTTTATAATAGACCAGCAAATATATGTCATAAATTTTGGTCACATGTGAAACAGAATCATATGTTTAAATGCCATCTGTTTAAAAACTCTACAAACTATTGTTCCAACTCAATATATGTGGAGGATTGATTAAAATTAATCTGGATAATGAACCTCCAAAAATCTGAATGACCTGAACATGACAACTGATCTCTCCTCTGACCTGTCTCTGATGGCTCAATGGGGGAAGAACAGGCTTTTAAAATTCAATACATCCCAATTGAAACAAGTAATATACCACCATCACTGAACAGACCCTGAACTTTCACCTATCATGATGTGGATCGGTGCTTTCTCAAGGAAGCTTCTTGTCTTAATGCCCATTGGGACAAGCTGACTGCAGATTTCATGGAACTCTTCTAGTACTAAAAATGCTGGTAAAAGGGTTGGTTCCTTGTGACACCCCCAGTAAGTATCTGACTCCTACTGCTAAGCTTTGTACAGGAACCAGATCAGACCAAAATGGAGTATTGCTCCCATACCTAGGTTGGAGCTACCCACTCCTTACTTGCCTGTTTTGATAGTTCAAAAGCATTGTGAGTGATGAATTATTTTCCACACTACAACTCCCTCTCCTACAGGTAAAACATTGAAAGCATTTTGCTACTCTATCGCTATTTCCATGTTATGTAGTGTTCTGATGAGCTACATTCCATAGTCCCACTAGTGCTGACATTTACAGCTAAAACCCGTTTTGCCAGGTACACCTGAATGCTCATCATTCCCTTTGTATTCCATTAGTAAGAAGTAAGTTCCACTTAGCTTCTTCACAAGAACTGCTGATTTGTGGAACAGACTCCTGGCAGGACTTTTTCCTGATCGCTATATTCTTAACCTCTTCAAATTTAGGGTTAATCATTATCTTTCCTACATTACTACATCAACTGCACTTCTGGCACTCTCTACCTTGAGTGTCTCTTGGACCTTGTATTAGCTAAAAAAACGCAAAATAAAAAGATTTTTATCATATTCAGTTTTGGGTGTTTTTGTTGATTTCTTGAGGATGTTAATTAATCAAAATTCTTTTTATATTTGTATTTTGGTAGGTACGGAACCACCTGCTGAAAACAAAAGTTTCAGCTCATGTGATGGCTGTCAGAAGCATACATGCGGAAAGCCAGCGGAACACAATGAATCATCTTCTAGTACCAAATGGAGAACGGGTAATGAGCACACACAAATGAAACCATGTCTCTCATTAACAGAGTCAATTAATAGCAGGGAAGATGTAAAAAGTCTCCCCCTTGTTGGCAGTGCTCCTCCCCCCACACCAGTAAATGATCAAAAATGCAAAGCCACAGAAAACGATGAAATGGATGAAGTGAAAAAAACATTCAAAATGATAGCTATAGGTGATATTAAACTTTTCTTTTAGTAAAAAGTAGGCTTTGAGATATCTCTCTCTTTCGCTTTGAGATATCTCTCTCTTTCGCTTTGAGATATCTCTCTCTTTTAAATATTTTGAGATATATCTCTCTTTTTTAAACTTTAGATATCTTTTCTTTTATGTTTAGATAAAATCTCTCAATTTATTCTTCCTGATATCTCTAAATATTTTCAAAACTTGAGAGAATCTCTCTCTTTGTTTGAGAGATATCTCTCTTTCATGAATATATTTCTCTTATTTTCCATCTAATCTTTTTTAGATATCTCTCTCTTTAAATTTAAGATATCTCTCTATATAAATATCTCTAAAAATCCATTCTCTGCACCTCTCTCCTCTCTCATTCCTCTCTCTCTCTCTATCTCCTCTCTCTCTCTCCCTCTCTCTCTCTCTCTTTTTCTCTATTTCTCAAATATCTCTCTCTGTTTTCCCTCTTCCCTCTCTCTCTCCTTGTTCTCTCTCCTCATCTCTCTCTCTCTCTCTCTCTCCTCCCTCCTCTCTCTCTCCTCCTCTCTGAAAAGTACTGAAAAGAAAAAAAAAAAAAAATAAACAAAGGCCTTCCAAAAAAACACTTTCTTTTCCTTCTTCTCTCAAATTTAAATTTGTTTTTTTCTTCTCATTGATCACCTCCTGAAATCTATCATCTGTTCCTCTCTCTTATCTTTCTCTTTCATTCCAGTTGACTATTTCTGATATAACTTATTGAATGGAAATTATTCTAGATAAAAAAAAAACCTTATCTATCGCTAATGTCATTTTGTGACCGAAACTTTTTATGCTTTTAATGTTTTATACATTTGTAATATTTTTTTAAACTTGAATGTATTTTTGTTTTTAATATTACAGAAGCTAAAAATTTTAACTTGTTAACAAAATAATTTAAAAACTCTGAAAAGAAGCTAAAAACAAGCCTGTTTCTTTTAAATTTAAATGAAGTTGTCATATGACTGTTTGAAAAGAAACTAGGGTATATTTTATTTTCTTCCATTAAAATTATTTTTTATCAAAAATAACTAAAAAAAAATGTGAGCTGAATTTAAAAATTAAACCTAAAAATTTTAAATATGCAAGATTTATTTATTTATTTTTTGGTGAATCTCATTGGTACAGAAAGCGGCCATTGTCCCAGAATTGCGTACAATATTTTAAGTGAAATGACTGATAATTTTAATGATAAAGACGTTTTTTATGGTGGACGATTACTGGGAAGTGGAGGCTTTGGCTCTGTTTATCTCGGTAAGTAAAATGTTTATATAGATTTAAAGATAAATGTCTATCAATCCTTTAATCTTTGTTTTTATTTACTTAAGTACAGATGAAATATCAAACCTCATCTTTGTTCATTCATCTACTATATTCCAGACAAGGTTATGTTTCCACGAAGGGGTAATGGTGTGTCTTTGGTTTTCTCAAGTTGATGACTGTTTTTTCAGTAATTTCTTTTCTATATCTGGACATATAAAAATATACTTTTCAAAAGGAATGGCACTATGGGATTTATAAACTGTAATTTTTGGAAAAGGCATGTTAAAATAAAAGCAACTGCTCAGCTTACCTATAACAAAGCATTTTGAATATAATGGCCACTCTTGTCACTGTTAAATGAAGTGACATCACTAGGTTTATGTATTTAAAGATGTGACTTGTAAAAGGTTTTTTTATTTTGTGAATAAAAGAAATTTGACCAATAAAGACAATGATGGACAGATTTATTGAAGTGACATTTACAAAAAAAAAAAAAAAAATGCTAAACCAGAATCAATAAAAGACTTTCCTTTTCAATTTCTTTGATTTTTGTTAAATTTTTGTGAAAAATAAGATTTGATGTTACATATAGATTCTTCAATATATATATATATATATATATAAAACAAAAGCTGTCTGTGTGATACCGTTTCACTCAAGATCCATCCAACTGATTTTGACCAAACTTGGCACATACATTGTACAATTTAAAAGATAGGTCCTTAGTGTAAAAAATCAATAATTGATAAAGCCAATCAAAAATTGATAAATTCAACTTTTTTTCTTGCAATTTTGTTCAAACTCGGTATGTAGATTACTTGCATCATGACAAGCCCAGTGATACCTCATTTTTATTTCTACACCACTGCATTTAATGAAAAAACGATTTCAACACAAATTTTAAACTAAAAACTCCCTCAATTTTCAAGCAATCTAATACAAACTTCACTCAATTGTAGCCAACAATAAGTTGATTGTTTAAAAGTCATTTAACTTCATAAGTGAGTCCACCCATATAGTGAAAACCTGCAAAAATGGTGATTTTTTTTTTTTTACTGGTTTCTTTCTTATTTTTTTGTTGATCTTTCAACCAATTTTCATCAAACTTAACAATTGCTTTATAAATGTATCCTCTTTTACATCTCTGTTAGCACACGGACAAATTGAATTTCAAAAACACCAAAATAATTGTGGTCTGAAGTGGGTCGTGTTACCTATTTTACCTCTTCATGTCCTCGGCTAACTTTGATTGAAAAAATACAAACTACTTCTGTTATATCAGTAACTGCATTAATTCAAAATGTTTTTTAATGAAAGTACTTTAAAGTAATTGAAAAAGATAGACTTTGTTATATCTAAACATGATGCTGTTTTTGCTCCATTCTAATTGACCACCTCTGATTGACCAGCTGGGTATGGCTGCTAATTGTTTGAATAAATCGAAGCTTACAGTCAACCTTGAAAAATGTAACTTCAAGTTTGTGTCAGGACCAACAAAGCCTCTTTGTGCTAAGGCTTGGGTCACTTCTGCTTTTTCTAGACAAATAAAATAAGAAACAAGTCATTTTCTTGGCAAGACAAGCTACTCAAAAAAGTTTTTTTTTAATTTCTCCTTAATCAGTGAATCTTTGACTTCATTACTGAGGAAGAATGTTAAATTTATTTGGTCAAAAAATTATGAAGAATTATTAAGAAACTTTTCATACCTATTGCACTGGTGAGAGAATTTCTTAAGATTTAATAAAGTGTAGGGGGGGATTTCTTTTTTCTTTTTCTTTTACTTTCTTTCTTCTCTTTCCCCATTCTTCTCTCTGCTGTCAGGACAATTTTGCAAAAGGTCTACTCACTGGAAGAGCCAGGTAGTTTGATGCTATATTCTTCTGCTGCCACAAATCCTATTTGGCAAATATGTTTGACTGCATACAATCCAATAATTCAGGACTTATCAACTGCAAGAGGTATAAACTTGTATCTGTCAGATAAGCAATAACATTTAACCAGTTTATGTCCAGCCTGTCAGGTGCTAAAACCAGGAGACTGAAAGTAACATTTAGATGAAACCTTTCATGAAATATTAAAAAATAATAGAAAATACTTTTTTAAATTTGTTAGCTAGTCTATTTTATTTTTATCTCTTTTTCTTCTCGTCAGGTGTAAAATCAGGTCTCAAGGTAGCTGTAAAACGACTCTTTGATACAACAGATGAACAGACAAAACTTTTTGAGAAGATCGTTTTTTTAATTTCCAAGTATTTATATCATTTAATTTACCAGGTTCAAAAAAAAAAGGAAAATGACTGAAATTAAATTTTTTTTTTTAAAAATTTTCATTCTGTACAAGGCCCAACAGTGGACGGGTGTTTGAGGGATTACATAGTAAAGGCCTTTTATAGGCATATATTTGGTCGATATGTATTTTATTAGACTTGAAAAGGACTATGAATGCTGTAATCGGGGAGTATACAGCTTTAGAACAATTCCACAAAGCAGTGGCTCAAAAGAAGCTGTTAAAGTTAATATCAAGGTTCAATTAAATAAGAATGGAATCCATCTAATTTTCGAAACAATGTGCATGCATTCTTTTACAGCTTGTATGTTGAACTGGTGGAAACACATATGACCTTTTTGACGGTTTTTTGTGGCAGTGCACAAGAGATTTTTAAGCTGATTGCTGGAAGAATGGATTAATGACAGTTTGCTTTATTTTTCACTACAATTCTTTAAATCAAAATTATGGTCAGACCTATTATAATGAACATATAATGTAGTGAGCAAATTGTTTTGTAAAAGATCCCTTTTGGGTTCATATAATCTTTTATTTAAATTTCTAGATGTTTCATCAGTGTGTTTCTTGGGGCAATTTTACAGTCTGTTTTGTAAATTCCTGCTTCATGTTTAATGTTATGATTTTGTTTAGTGCAAATTAATTTTTTTTTTTTTTTTTTTTTTAAGTGGTTGCTTTTATTTTTATCACTTTTGTTTTTAAATACCCCACATTGAAATTGCAGAATTTTTGTTAAGAAAGGAAATATGTTGTATGATTCTGGATATAAATTTGCCATGGAAGATTCTGAAATTAGTCCACTTTTAATATTTTTTTTTCCTTAATTACTTTCTCCTCTTAATCAACTTATATTTGATCATATATTTCTTTGTACGAATACATATGCTAATTAAGAATAGGGTGTTGAATCCTGGGAAATGTATTTTTCTATATGAGACGACCAAATTGTATTGCCTACACAGTTTGCTAGTTTCCTCTCAAAGTGAATACTACTACCAAAAACACTGATAAAGTTTTATTTTATCATCATGTCACACAGTCTAACATCTCATTTTCATTTTTTCCTCCCACTCCACTCATGAAAGTTAGATTTGATGATAACAGTATCATTTAATAATTGTGCTCGTCTCTCCCTTTGTAAGTTAGTTCCTTAGTTCACACGACCGTTATGTCCTGCCAATACCTCATAAATAATGGACTATTTCATTTTTCTCATGTGGAAAGCAGGCGAAGACACTATTTAGTTTCAGTGAGAAAATGAAAGAAAGATAAGTGTTTAATGTCTCCTGCCAATACCTTATAATGGATTATTCCATTTTAATTGGGAGAGTGTGTGTGTGGGGGGGAGCAAAACACATATCAAAGACGCTACTTGGTTTCAGTGAGAAAATGAATGAAAAAAAGAAAGAGAAGATAGTTTAGTGGCTGTTTCAGTGAAATAGAAAGTTGTCAATTTCAAATCTTTTCATTTTTATTTCTACCCACTTAAAATAATGACCATCATTCATATTTATGATTGTTATTGCAATATATTTTGTCAAAGTTTTTAAGCTCAAATAATTTAACAATGTGATAGGGAAATTTCTGAAATAGTGGAATCATTGTGGGATTCCACACTTTTATTCAATCATTAAGCAAAAATTTAGATGATTCAGAAAAATTTTCATGGGTCTTTATTAGTTTTTGTCTATCATGAGTAGCAAAGCAAATGGCATTAGTTTTTCAAAATTGAAACAAATTTGCATTTAGAACACCTGGATGACATAATCATGGAATAGAAAATGATATAATTTGGGACCCTTCTAACAACTCTCAAGTATATATCTTCATAACATGCCGAATCTCGTTAGAATTTGTATTTTCGTTAACACATTCATTAAGTAACCATGGCTTTCTCAAATCTCGTGCTGCGTGTATTTTCGTCAGAAAAAATAGTAAAACAAAAAAAAGTAATGGATAAACATAACCCAACAAACCAGCTGGAGCTCATAAACAATGATGAATACCTCATTTTCGTTACATTCTTGTTCATGTCAGGGTGGAATCGCAAAAGCTAGGAAAAAGTCATCTTGTAAATTGACAAGGAAATGGTTTGATGATTTTTTTGGCAAAAATGAGGGCTTGAACCCTGTTGAAAACTTTTTAGGTGTTTTTTATTCAGGTCTTCAAATACTGTAACCAACACTGACGTCAACCTTTTGCCATTTACACAATAGTAATCTCTTCTTCCTACCAGATCTTTGCCATGTTAATTTTAAATTTGTGGGCAATCCTGTTGTTTGGCATTAGAACTATCTGAGACAGTCTGCCCTTACAACAGAGACACATTGCAATGACAATCATGTCATGACTAGCAACTGGAAATCATCAATATCTGGTTTGTTGTTGCTTGACCCCAAAAGTACATTTTCATTTTTTTACTGGTATTCATGGGATTTTTTGTGTAACATTTGTCTCGTTCTTGGTAGTATTTTATGCAGGAAACTTCAAAGACTTTATCTGCTATCCATAAAACATGAAACATTTGATCAAGATAAACAGTCAAACTATCTCTTCTATATGGATGTCACCGAATCATAAACAACGTCAAGCCTGGTCTATCACCTAGATACTGTGAAAAAACAAAAAGAATAAACAAGAAAACTGAGATAGTTCTTTGTGCAATGTGGGGATGCATGTTGTGCGATGGATACTGGCTCCAAATGAGAAATTGGAGAGCTGAGTCCAAATTCCAGTCATGTTTGTTATATTCACTTACTGAAAATACCCTTCGGAAAGGTATGAATCCTTCTTCTCTTCCAAGCTATGTATTATGGATTACATAGGACTTGTATCTAGGAAACCTAATGTCATTTTCAAAA